GGTTGCCCATTTGCTACAATGTTAGTAGCAGGTTTCCCCTATAACTGCCCTAGTGAGATGCTTTCAATCAGTTCTACAATGCCAGCATTCTTTCCCTTACAGCCAGCTTCAGATTCAATCAGGAAGTGGTTGGTACATCTAGAACATTCAGGTCACTATTGTCCTAGTGGGTACATCTTGCTAGGCATTTTGGTATTGTAGTTTACACGGTTCATAGCTGAATGTGCTTGTTGATGACTTAACCTCCCCGATTAGCCTGGGTAGCACCTTCCAGCACTGTGAACGTTAACCAGCAGGGAGGGAGCTTCCAGCTTCTAGCTTGGTTTCTGTGTGTTTTGTATCCAACTTTTTAGACAAGACTATATTTTCTTTGTTCTCTTAATCATGGATACTGTGGGTCAGGGGTGAATCTTAGTGAGAGTCTTCACTGCTTATCCTAAGTGTTGACTCCTGAATGGCACAGGCAGGCTCACGCATTCCTTTCTGTAGTAATCATGATAACCGGCATGGAACTAATTACAGAACAACAGCTAGAAATTATTTATTGACTGGTTCTAAAAACTGATTGTACCTATAAGGATAATATATGGGAAAATGTTCCTTTAGGTTCTGAAATTGATAGAACTTGCTGTTACTTATTGATTTTGCAAACCTGAGTTTTTTTCATATTCCCAATAGCAGCTTTAGTTCAACAAAACAGGTAAGTAACCACATATAAAAGTGAGCCACCAATTTTTTTTTTTATTGAACGCACGTTTTCATGTTAAACATCTTTAGTACTTAACATGCATTCCTGCTCGCTTTAGAAATCAAACTTGATTTATGGATCCAATTAAAAACCTTTTGTTGAAAGGAAATCTTTTTAAATTTTATTTTTATCATTCAAATATTTAAAGATGTTGCTTTTGTTCTTTGAGCTTCCTGTATAGGAACTTGAGAAAGACAATGGACATCTTTATTAATAAGCTGCCGTAAAAATTCAGCTTTCAATCCAGAAAGCATGCTTTTTACCTTTTAGTTTTGCTTTTGAAATCTGTCAGAGGTATAAATAATTCTGTGGTATTGTGCTCATAATAGGCCCAGCTACTACTGGGGTAGGTAGATAAAGCAAGAGGCAAATACTCTGATTTTTAACTTTTGGTGATAGCATTGGAAGAGCCCTGTTCCAGCTTTTTACTTCTTCTCAATGTCTCCCCTCCATTGTATGGAATTTCCCACTCTCACAATGAATAAACAATTTTCTGAACTCTTTTTGTCAATGAGTGGGATTGATTAGGTACCTTTTCTCCTGTACTGGTGAAGGTTCCTGGGTCACTTGTTATAGGCACAATAGACTTGGATTCCAAATTTAGTTCTAATACCTATTGGCTTTTTGATATGAGCAGTTTACTACCCCCTTCCAGATTCGGTTTTCTCATCTAAAATATGGTCTACTCTGCAGGATTGATGTATGCATCACAGACAACACATGCGTAGCTCATCAAAAGGGCTTTATCAAAATCATACCCTTGAATATGTTACTGGTTTGTATGAGACTGGGGACCGAAAACTTCTAAGTATATGTGGAAAATAATTTTAGCTTGTCTTTCAGATAATTCATTTCTTTGTGTTAAAATATAATGCCCAGATTGTATCTAACAACACAGCTCTACAGTCTCCTGTAGAGGATGGTGATTTTTATTGTGTACATTTTCATGTATTCCATTCTATTAAAGGGGCTTACCCTTGCTTTCAAGAGAGGATGTAGTGCAAAGAGATGTCTTGAGTTGCAGATATCAATATGGCCTCTCTCCAGTCCTTGGACAGATAAAGCACACTGTGCTATTTGCATAGCTTAACCAAGTCCAGCCTCAAGCTAGAGAAGTTCAGAAGTATGGTGATGTCAGGGGTCTAGGGAAGGTCCTCTGACACCTATATTACCACCCTAGCTACTCTGTCCATTGCCTTTAATGCCACCTGATCACCTTTAAAAGAACAGGTGTTTATTTCCCCGCAAGAGAGAATGATGTAATGGTCCCACCTAATTCCATCCAATAAGGAATGCTGGCCCAATCCAGCTTGTTCTTGGGATGTCTGCTCTTATAAGGAGCTAAAGAGTTATTCATAGGTGTTTCTTCTACCACCTCGGTGGATTACTTCTGATGTTAATTGTCTTCACTAGTCTCCATTTTGTTAATCGACAAGTTTAGGGGATGGACCTTTACTAAAGGTGTTACTTCAGCTGTTGTTTAGGCATGACATATTCCTGACCTAATTCAATCCCCATTGTATCCTCTTACATATGAAGTACAAGCTACATTTTATATCCAAGGAAGGTGAAGACAGGCGTCTTTGAGACCCATGCCAAGATGATTGAGAGAAGAACAAAACTGAGATTTGAAACTATACCAGTGTGGCTACAAAATCTGTTTTTTTTTTCCCCTGTGACATGATGATGTCATTTCACTTTTAGGAAGCATGGAGGCTCTTACTTGTTCACTATTCTACCCCAACTCATAAAGACATGCTCTTTTGAAAATTATCCAGTAACTCAACATCTCAGAAAGCTTTACTGTGTGGTCTCAAAATTGCTAGATCATTGGAGTTTTCAGTTTTAACTATAAAACTAGCTTATAATTTATCATTGACAATATCCATGGAAAGGTTGCAAATAAAGCATTAAGAAAGCATCCCAAGAGCACAATACAATAGAAAGATTACACTATTCAGTGCAATAGAAAGATACATCAATTCCATACATTATCTGATTACTCATAAGCAAATTGTAGATCTTTCCAGTTTCATGTTCTTTATTTATAAGATAAGGATGATAGAAATATTTTACATAGCCATTATAAGAATTAGTTTGGATAGAGAACATAATACCATCCAATCTGAAATATTAAGACATTAATTGCACAATAGATCTTATTATTGGAGACATCACTGACATATTACAAAGATCAGTGTGTATAATGTATGTGTTCAAATTCTAGTCCAACTGTCCATGTTTCCCCCTAGACCGTGAGACCCTTGATGAAGGGATGATACTGGATTGATCACTGCTGAATTCTCAGCCCTTAGCACAGGATCCAGCATATAATCAGCAAATAAAAAATGTTGGTTGAACTGTGGATAAAACAGTGATTGTGGGTCCATGGTCTAAGGCTGGATCAGGTTGCTTGTATTTTCGAATGTATAAATAAAAATAAGGGTCAAGATAATGCATAAGGTTCTTAATACCTTAAGATAAACACATTTGAAAATCCTTGAGCGGAAACTCATGTGGTATCTTTGAGCATCAGTTAAATGCCATCAAAGACAAGCAAGAGACAAGAGTTTTTCCCTTGATTATCCTTTTAATGAGGAGAGAAAGCATGATGACTTTTTTTTGGAGTGAATTTGAGGTCACCAACTTTATTAACTGGGGGAAAAAAGCCCTGGCTATCTGATAGATGTATAATGAAATGCAGATTATATATGCTTCTAAAAGAAATGATCCAAGATGCTGAGAAGGAATATTCCGATTCATTAACCATCTCTAATGAGATGTGGAGAGGATGAATTGGTTGGTCAGCACTATTGAGCAGACACATCTTCCCTGACAGGTCTGGGATGGATTTTGCTGACTCATAAATTAATGAAGATCTGCACAATAGCCATATTTATTGGCCTCCATTTATGTTGTATGCTCCAGAAACTTATTCTTGATTTTACTTTTTAATTAAAATGTGTACCATTGTCACATTATTATTGCATATGTGCTCTGAGACCAGGAACTATATGGACAGTTTCATTCTTTATAAGTCAATATAGTCAAAATGAGATAGAATTTACATAAAATGGGTATAACAACTGCTACATTGAGCTATATTTTTGAGGTTTAAATGATCCTGAAAGCTCAGTAAATAAAATGTTATTATTGTGACATAATTATTAATAAGCTGACTCTCTACTTACAGTTTAGTTTCTTCAGTTCATTATCTTTATTGGCTTAATAAAGTAGGAAGCAAAGAGGTGCAAGCTGGAGGAAACTAAGAATCAAACACCCCCACTAACAGTTTTCTCATATTTATCTTACTCGTTAATGCTTTAAACATTAGTGATATCAATCTGGGGACTAAAGGCCTTTAGTTAGCCTCTTCTGAAAGGAAGTTTCCCCCCGATTTGATTCTTTGTGTGTTCAAATCTTCCTTATATTATTTTTGAAGAGGACGATGCTTAATACTCAACCAACTTAGCCCAGCCCTGGTGGTACTGACACCATGGGGCCAATTCTTTCCTAACAGATATTTCTCAATTTTTGTTTATGGGATTGTTTTTCCTCTGAGTTCTGAAACTTAGGTGTGTAATAACAAAATAGCCCTGCTACTAAAAGATGAATATTTCGAGCTTGTGTGTTTGTAACTCAATTTGATTCAGCTTTAACCCGAGTGTTTCAGAGAAGGTGATACTGATGCGATTTTGTCATTCTTGTTTTATTTAAGAGTGCACACATTTCAGCATTTAAAACTACTAAGAGGAGATGCACGTATAAAAAGAAAGACATAAAACGGGTTATACAAAAACATTTTGCTGGAAAGGTACAGGCATAAAACCAGAGGAAAACCATATGGATACAGCACTTCTTCAATTGCTTTTGCTTGTCTTACATAATTTGATGTTCATGTTACACAAAGGATTTAGCAATATTTGTTTGACAGGCAAGTGCTCTGTCTATCACAGAGCATCTATTTCTTCCTTTTTCCTGGTGTATTTGGTACCATGGCAACAGACAACCATGCCTGGTCTGGACTCCCACAGGAGAATTCATTGCTCCTTTAACTGTTTAAGGGTTGATCCAGGCTCAAGAAAAGCCATCTAAATTCCAAGCCAACCATCTTTGTGCTGTGTCAGCTGTAGAGGGTTTCCTCGAACCAAGCAAGGACGTTTCCAACCAGCTCTCCCTGGGGGCGTCTGTAAATGGAAAGGAGGAAGCAATGGAAGATGTTGAGCATTAATGGAAAGGTTTCTCCTTACAGGACTTTGAACAGGACCCATAGCATGAAAATGATTCAGCTGAAGTCAGTGGCTCCAGGAACTGATCCCTTCTGGAGGTGGAGTCCCCTTGGAAAAGGTCTGTTCTGTCCTTCCAAAATGTCACCCTGAGTGGCTTCAATTTGTTCTTCTGTCACAGCCTCAAGTTTGATGTGCATCCAGGAATCGCCATGGAAAGGCAGCATTGGGGGTCTGTGGACACGCAGGCATGTCTGGTGTTTCTGATACTGATGGGATAGTCCTCCATACTTGGTTTATTAAACTCCTTTTAAGGCTCACTTATACTTTATAGAAAATCTGGCATACAATTCTCAGCTTAACTCCTGGACCAATCTTGTTGTAAACATTAATTCTCATCACACAAGACAGTGGCAGGCAGATTTTGGAAGGACAAAGCAATTCATGAATTACATGCTTGACTACCTCTCCTGTCTTCCAGAACGAATATTCCATAGGTCACATCTGCCTCCTGAGCTCACAGAATGCTCCGCAACCAGTACTGTCACCTGCGATTAGCTTTCAGCTAGCCCTGAGGCAAAACCTTGATTAGCGTCACAGTATTTACTGTTCCTGAATCTGGTATCCACCATGTAGCTTGGAGGTCTAATCAGGTTTGTTCGATGGTAAAGAATAAAGGTCTTCCAATAGCCCAAATTGTAAACGTAACAGTGAACTGTAGGAAGTCATCAATCATGAGAAACCACATCAACTTCAAGAGTCAGCCACCCTCCCCTGTTCTTTATGTAATATCTCTGCTTCTATTTATCCATCTATTGTGCCGACTTGCTTTGGAACTGTCACTGAGCACCCCTTCTCCTCCTCCTCTTCTCTCTTCTTCCTCCTCCTCCTAGTCTTGTTTTTTATTCTTCTCTTATATTTTTGGTGAGTATGTGTGTGTGTGTGGTCTGTGTCTGTATACATGTACGTGTGTTCTCATGTGTATGGAGGCCAGAGGTCAATGTCAAATGTCTTCCTTGATCAGCATCCTCCTTCCATCAGGAGGCAGGTTCTCTCCACTGAATCCAGAGTTTACTGATTTGGCTAGCCTACCTAGCCAGCTTTGGACACTTTATGATTTTTGCCTCCGGAATGCTGGGGTTACAGGCAGGATGTCATGCCCACCCTGCACTTCCAAGGGATTCATATTTTAACAGATGGAGCAGAGGTGTTGTGAGACCAGCAGTGGTGTGAATCAGCCTCTTTCTGTCCTTTAGGAGGAAGAGATACAGTGGCCATTCCTCCAGAATGGCCAGTGTGTGGTCAGCAGTATGAAGTACTGTAGCAGGAATCTTAAAAGTTCTTATTAACAAAATCAAACCTGAGGCCAGTTATTGGGGTGAGCACTGGAAGATCAGAGAGACAGAACAAGCCACATCCAACCTCACCTGGCCAACTTCTCAGCTGATCTTGTTTCCTCAGACTGGAAGCCTCTGTGTCCTCGTATCCGAATAGCTCTCAGCTGAACTGTGCTGCTCAAAACCTAAAAGCTTAACCAGCCAAATGCTTAAGCAGCCAAATGCTTCTAGTTTCTGGTTCTCACGCCTTATATACCTTTCTGCTTTCTACCATCACTCCCTGGGATTAAAGGCTCACTTTCTGGGATTAAAGGCGTGAGTCACCATGCTTGGCTGTATCCTTGAACAGATGGATTTCTGCCTCTGGAATGCTAGGATTAAAGGTGTGAGTACCACCATTTTCTAGCCTTTGTGTCTAGTGACTGTTCTGTCTCTGACCCCAGATAAGTTTATTAGGGTGCACAATATTTTGGGGAACACAATACCACCACAAAGTACAGAATCATTCAGCAAAGATTTGCATGCTTTCTCTTGTGAATTTGACTGGTTGGATATTATTTTCCTCATCTATAAGGAGAATAATTAGTTTGTTAGGACTCTGATAAAGATTACAAAATGAGTTGCACAGGGTTTTTTAATCAAGGATGCTTTGCACAGATGCTTTAACAACATTACCATTGACAATAGCTATGTGATCATGCAATTTTTTAGTAATAATTGCAGAGATATTTGACTATTTTGGAGTTCTGAGATCAAACTAAGGGGTTTTGAGCATACTACGTCAATGCTCTACCACTGAGCTACATCTCCAGCTCCAACAATGCTGTTAACATATATAGTTGTAGTGCGAATTCTAATTGGTCTTAATAATAATAACCTGAAGTCAGATATCAGGGTGAAAGCTGAAATATTGGTGAAATTATTAAGGCCACTCCACGTAGTTAAAAAGGAGGTTTATTTTGTGGGGTAACTTACAAGCGAAGGGATAGGTTGCAGGGTCTGGGAAAGGTGTGGCACAGTCGGTGTTTTCTGGAGAACTCGGCTTGGTCTACCTCCAGCGTCCAGGGTCCAGGAACCAAGAGAGCCTATGCATCTGGATCTCGGGTCTTCAGCCTCCTCTCAGCTCCGCCTTATAGGTGTGACAGTTACCGAAGCCTTAATGGGGGTTGGAACTTCCAGATCAAAGCTGGAATGACTACTCAGTACACTGAAAGATCAGAGAAGCAGAACAGCCAGTCACTAGAGAGACTTTTTACCTCTATGAATCCTCAGACCAAAAGGGCCGAGCTCTTGCCTCCACCCTGCCTTATCATTTCCTTTCTCTGCCCAGCCATATCACTTCCTGTTTCCTCCTTTGAAGTGCTGGGATTAAAGGTGTGTGTCACCACTGCCTGGCCTCTAATGGCTAGCTCTGCCCTCTGATCTCCAGGTAAGCTTTATTTGTTAGAGCATGAACAAAATATCACCAAATAGAGTTACAGTATTTGTAGTGCAAAGAGTAAGAATCAGAATAGCTAAAAACATTCAGGTAATGGTCAGGAAGAGGAAGTGTCCAGCTTTGCATTTTTTATTGTTTGCTTGCTTTTAAGGCTGCTGAATCCCTGACTCAAAGACCTGGTCAGGATTTCAGTTCATGACACTAGATTTTCAAGATACAGAAATATATCTCAAGCAAAACCAAAAGAAGAGAATGAGAGAGAAATAGTCTATTTGTTTAATGGCTGTACGGTCAAGCATGGTGAGGCTTTTGCGTGGTTACATCCAGAAGATAAACAGTGCTGTGGGAGAGTCTATTCATTAGAACTCTTTCATCTTTTGGCTGAGCTTCCTTACGGGCTGACTAGATTCTCAGTCAGACCTTCCAGTGGCCATTTGAATATCTAGTTTGATTTTGTCCTTTTAGAGAAAAATCCTAGGGAACCAAGCATGCCTTCTACCCATCAGGACACCCAAATACCCATGGAAGAAATTTTTCCTGGGTGGGTACTGTAACCTCCCACAAATATGTCATTGGGGTCAAGAGAATTGGGGTGGGGGTGGTCACATACTCTGGTCTGATTCTGACCCTTTTCCAGGTCTATAGTGGGTTATGGGAAGTTGGTTCCACCCAAATCACGTGTAGTTGAAAGAAGTAGGTGAGAGTCTCCCTAGCATGGTAATTCTCAACCTTCCTAATTCTGTGAGCCTTCAACACAGTTCCGAATGTTGTGGTGACCCCCAATCAACCATAAAATTATTTTTGTTGCTACTTCATAACTGTTATTCTGCTAGTGTTATGACTCCTAATATAAATATCTGATATATAGGGTATTTGATAGATGACCCATGTGGGGGTCATAACCCATAGGTTGAGAACCCCTTCAGTAACAGCTGAGCAGTAACAGAAAAGAGCAGTTGACTGCTTCCCATGCCTCCCAGTTGCTCTGGGACTCACACACACACATACACACAGCTGAGTAAAGTGCCTCATAGACTGGCAGTCAACACCCACTCCCATCTTCCACTCCAGTATAACAATTGTCTCCAACCTTTCTCACATAAAAACTGCCTCACCCACATGGACAGCATAGTGCTTGCTTACACGGCCACCTGCTAGTAGGTACTTGAGCTGATCATAGTTTGAGGCTGTAATAAACAAGCTGCTATGAATTTTAATGCGCAAGTATTTTTCAAGGACTTGTACTTTCATTTCTTTTGAGTAAATTCCCAGGAGTGCAATGTCTAGACGATACAGGCAGTATATGTTTTAATTTTTAAGAGCCTCCAAAACTACTTTCCAAAGTGATTGCTGCAATTTTACATTCCCAGCATCCATGTGGAAAAACTCTGTTCCATCAGTATCTCATGGCTGGTCTTCAGTCTTAGCCACTTTAACTGATGCACTGTAGAACTTCATTGTGGTTTCAATGTGCATTTCTACCTTGACTATTGAAGAAGGCTATATTTTAAAAGTGCTTCCTTTCCATCCATAAATCATCTTCAGCAAAATTTTTATTCAAATATTTTGCTTTTGTTCTGAGACAGCTGCCATTAAACTGGCTATGTAGCTGAAGATAACCTTGAATCCCTGCCTGCCTCCACTTCCTAAGTGCTGGAATTCAAGGTGTGTGCCACCCCACCAGACTTATTTTGCTTATTTTCAAAGGTCATTTTACTAGTATCAGATACACGATTTGTAGCTATTTCTTCAGTCTGTGGCTAGTCTGTGGATCTTCTTAGTGACTTTCCAAGAGTACAGATGCTTGATTTTAATGAAGTACAGCTTAACTGAAAATTCTGGGGCTCTCTCTTTGTGAAGTTAGTCACTGTCTCTGTGCCCTGTAGCTCCAGCTGAGCTCCCCGCTACTCTAGGATTCCAGATTGCTTCCCTCTCCCTTCAGGGAGTCCCTGAATGCCTCCTCAAAACAGATGCTCAGGCATCAATGGGAATCACTTGTTGTGTTTCCCACCTCCATAGTTCTTTCACTGCGCATTACCTGTGTCTAGACAATCCATTACGCCATGCTGTTCTGGTCTTCGGATTGTGTCAGGCATGAAAGGGAATCCAGCCCATGTTCTCTGCCTTGGTATGAAATATTAATTCTCACATGTAAACTTCCTGAGGCAGAGAACAGGTCTTTCTTTTTATTGATGTCTTCCATCTTCTGGGCAAAATGCCCTGGGCATGGGAAGTGAACCAAGCAAAAGAAATGTTCCCTTGCAGGTTAGATTTTCTTAAAAACGGAAAACTAAGATAAATTAGTCTCAGCTTCTGTGCTTATAGCCTGATTCTCTTAAGAATAGT